ATCATCACGTTCAAACTTTTTGGATAAATCTTCATTATCGTCCAATTAGTTGCGGCTTGATTTAACTCGCCTGAATCTATCTCCGGTCTTGCTTCGAACCATTGGCTCTAATATCACTTGTTGGTATCGAAATAACATGGTGAAATACCATTAAGCTAACACCCCTCACCGGGAATTACGTTTCGTTTCGGTTATCACACATTGTCGGAGCAAGAAAGCATCAAAAGCAACAATTGATTAAGAAAAAATTGCCGATACTACCTCATGAGGGCCACCTGGGTTGTGACTTGCTGTCAATATAAATGCCCCAGTAGCTTTAGAACCCTGTATTGAGTATGATTTATTAAGTTAAAAGATACTGGAATCAAGTAAAACTATATCACATAAAAGGAAAGGGAAATATGAATTAAGCAATTTGAGGTAGCTCTAGAAGCAAAGCACTTACATCAGCCCCGACTCTCTCACGAACAACAGCTGATACGGCAGGAGTGGACAAAAGTCCATTTTGACCAATCCAAACACGTCTAACTCCATTTGCTGCTGCCATTTTTGTAATGATCTGCAATGAACAAGACCAAATCGGTTATAGTCCGAATTATATCCTTCAATTAAGCACCCAATATTCATCAGTACAGGGAGCGTAACCATTAAGCAAGTTAGGCATGGGACCTCCATAGGAACATGAAAAAGAAAATAATTCTGTTTTGTTTTCAGAATGTCCCCTATGCATTAGAGAGAAGATTTCCACGGTATTATTGATTGTGTTAAAGCAAACAAACAACACAAAATAAAGAATTTCATTGGAAAAACTGGATCAATAGTACCTGGATGGCATCCTTCGAATAGTAGCGGCCATCACCAGAAACCACAAGCGTAGCACCTGCACGTACAAAAGTGCGATTAGAAGAGGATATATCTATCAACAATTCCATTACATGCAAGAAATGTAGAGGACTTCATCCAGAAATGGAAAATATAAAATTCCATACCTTTAACTCTGTCAGCTCCAAGGGCATTGAATGTTGCCTGAACAAAATTTTGCAAGTAAT